ATGGCAGATGGCCACATGGTGGTCATAAGCCATCAGCATTAGCAGGAAATTGTCCATACATAGAAAAACCATGAAAAAATATACCTGAGTGAGGCAGGCTGCATAGGTGATGGCTTTGCTCTCTGTCTGGATGTTCACCAGCATCTTGGGGACTATAGTGGTGCTGAAACAGATGTCTACAAAGGACAGGTTGAAGAGGAAGAAGTACATGGGGGTGTGGAGGTAGGAGTCAGACCCTACTGCCAGGATGTTGAGCAGGTTCCCCAGCACGGTGACCAGGTACATGGTCAGGAACAGCCCAAAGAGAAGAGGCAGCCATTCTGGATCCTCTGAGAGACCCAGGAGGATGATTTTTCCAAATGTATAACCTGTCTGGTTATACATTTCTTCTGTCTGGTTTTCGGATTCCATGTTGTTGATGTGTCTGCTGAGTTAGAGACCATGAGTTAGTTACAGTGAAACAGACACACAGACATCCCTTGTTGGAAAGAAGTCTTTTATCTTTTGCTTTAAAATCTTGTAATATTTACACAATTCTTCCCATCAGATTCCTTTACTCCAAGTAAATTTTGAGTGACTTCTATGTATCACTCATTTTTTTTTTAAAGATTTTTTATTTATTTATTCATGAGAGACAGAGGGAGAGAGAGGGAGAGAGAGAGAAGCAGAGGGAGAAGCAGGCTCCCAAGGAGCAGGGAGCCCGATGCGGGACTCGATCCCAGAACCCCGGGATCACGACCTGAGCCGAAGGCAGATGCTTAACCATCTGAGCCACCCAGGCGCCCTATCACTCATTTTTCTAATGCTAAAATTAAGAATGAAAACAAGTGCTGTTTTATTTATTTATTTATTTGTTTGTTTGTTTGTTTGTTTTTAAGAACTCTCATGCCTCCATGCCATTTTAAAATCTAGGGTTAAATTCTGGTAGTTTCTTCAAACTATTAAACTTTGTTAGATGACTTTACTTTCTCAGAAAATTTTAATTGTGTAGTTAACTCTGTACTGGGTCTGCTCATAATTACAAATCTCAGGTAATCCTGGAAATTATCATCTGACATTTTCTACTGCCTCCATGTGAGAAATAACACTATTAACCCATTTCTTTAAATATTCTGTATCTTACAATTACATCAAATCATTCTATTAGGACCTGCGTTTCAAAGGAATTGCTTTTGCCGGACTTGTGATTTGTCATTTGTCATCAGCCTACAGTGAATGAGAGACATTCTAAGAAAAGGCTGAATCAATCTCTCTCTTGTGTCTGTTGAAGAAATGTCACATCCAGAGGGGAAATTCTTGTCTGTTCCTTAAAACAAGAACAGCTAATGCTTTTTACAAACAACTGGTTATTTTCTCTAATAATCACATTTCTTTCTTTTTCCTTTTCTTCCTCTCTCCCTCCCTGTCTCTTCCTTCCTTCCTCTCTCTCTTTTCTTTCTTTCTTTTTTCTTTCTTTCTTTCTTTCTTTCTTTCTTTCTTTCTTTCTTTCTTTCTTTCTTTCTTTCTTTCTTTCTTCCTTCTTTCTTTTTGCTTGTAAGCTTATAGCCAGATATATGGGCCATGTCTAGAAACTGAGAAAGTGATTTTATAGCATATTTCTTTTTTAAAAAAGATTTTATTTTTAAGTAATCTCTACTCCCAATGTGGGGTTCAAATCCACAAACCCAAGATCAAAGGTTGCATGCTCTACCAGGTGCCCATATAGCATATTTTTTTGACTGATTTTTTCTTTTTTTTTAAGATTTTATTTATTTATTTGAGAGAGAAAGAATGAGAGACAGAGAGCATGAGAGGTAGGAGGGTCAGAGGGAGAAGCAGGTTCCCTGTGGAGCAGGGAGCCCGATGTGGGACTCGATCCCAGGACTCCAGGATCATGACCTGAGCTGAAGGCAGTCACTTAACCAACTGAGCCACCCAGGCGCCCGACTGATTTTTTCTTAATAGCCACCCTCTAGGATATGTCCGAATCGCAATGATTTTGTAATTATCCCCCACCTTCCAAGTACTCTTTAGTGCATTGATTTTGTGCATCTTTACAGAGCAGTCTTCCCATGGGTGCCAGCACGGGTCCAGTACATCGTTGTAGGATACTTCAATGGCATTCTACCCATGAAACTACCAAGTCCTCAGTGGCATTCAAGTCCCTTCATTATCTGGCCCCTGTAATAATTACATATGGGATGATGTACTCTCAGCAACTGCCACCTCATAAAAGTGACACTCCACATCATGGTTGAGTCAAGAAATCTTGAAAAGTGAATAATTCTAGGAGCTGGTATGCAAATACATTATTGATAAAAATGTATCATTTCCTGCTTTAACCAAAACCAAACTATCTTAGGAAGGATACATATTCATAGCAGAAGTGGAGGGAGGATGGAATGCATGGAATCTTGAGAGAACAAAATGGGTAAGTGAGCATTTTTTTCCTTGGCCCCCTTCCTGCCTAAGTGGGGGAGAGAACTGTTGAACCAGCCAATGCTAACATCCAGGCCATGTGATAGAATCGCAATCCACAGGATGGTTTATAAAGCAAGGGTGGGTGGACATTAGTTTATTCATGAAAGAGAGAAGTTGAGCACAGTTCAAAGGACATTTACATCCTTCAAATGAATAAGATGGTATATGCATTAAACAAGAAAAGATCTCAGTGCTAGGGACATAGTGAATACTCTAGACATATTGGCTATAATTATTACTGTTGTTACTATTCTGATTAATAACAGTATAGTGATTATACTAATCTTTACACTTGATCTTAGCCAAAAGGCCAAGGAGCAATGTAGTAGTCTTTACAGAAGAGAAAATATTGAGCTTCATTTAGGATATTCCCTTTCCCTCGATTTCCTGACACACAGACTGTTACCTTTCTCAATAGTCACTATTGCAGGGGCACCTGGGTGGCTCAGTTGGTTAAGCAACTGCCTTCGGCTCAGGTCATGATCCTGGAGTCCCGGGATCGAGTCCCGCATCGGGCTTCCTGCTCGGCGGGGGGTCTGCTTCTCCCTCTGACCCTCTTCCCTCTCATGCTCTCTATCTCTCATTCTCTCTCTCTCAAATAAATAAATAAAATCTTTTAAAAAAAATAGTCACTATTGCAGAAACATGAATGGAGATTATACATTTGGAAAAATTTTAAAATTCACGAAAGAGAAAGTCTTTATAATTATTCTGTGTTAAAATGTTGAAGGGTTTCATAAAAAATATTAAAAATAGAATTGCCATATGATTCAGCAATTCCTCATCTGAGTATATCCTCAAAAGAATTGAAATGAGGGTCTCAAAGATGTATTTGTTCGCCCATGTTCATAGGAGCGTTATTCACAATAGCCAAAATATGGGAGCAATCCAAGTGTCCACTGACAAATGAATGGATAAACAAAATGTGGTGTATCTATACAATGGAATATTAAATACTAGTCAGGGTCGGAAAGGGATGACATTCTGATACCTGCTACAACATGGATGAACCTTGAGGACATTATGTTACGTGAAATAAGCCAGTCTCAGAAAGATAAATACTATAGGATTCCACTTCTATGAGGTTTCCAGAGGAGTCACATTTATAGAGACAGAAACTGGAATTATGGGTGATGGAGCTGGGAGAAGGGGATGGAGAGTTAGTGTTTAAGGGGGACAGAGTTTCAGTTTTGCAAGTTAAAAGAATTTCTGGAAATGGATGGTGGGGATGGCTGTACAACAATGTGGATGTACTTAATACTACTGAATTGGACACTGAAAAATGGTTAAAATGGTACCTTTTATGTGGTGTGTATTTTACTATGATTAAATAATTAAATTACTATGATTAAAAATAAATTAATAAAAAGTGTTGAAGAAACTTTTTCTGATTTGCTTTATTATGCTCCTGTCCTTCATGGTGCTTTGAGAAATCAATTGCTCCTCATTTCTCACACTTCATGGATGTTCTTGGGGAACACAACCCCGGCAGATGGATGAAATAGGCAAAGGGGAGGAGTGCATGGGTGGTGCAGTCAGTTAAGCATCCAACTCTTGGTTTTGGCTTAGGTTATGATCTCAGGGTCATGGATTGAGCCTGAGTCAGGCTCTGCACTCAGCAGGGAGTCTGCTTGTGATTCTCTCTCTCCCTCTCCCTCTGCCCCTCCCCACACTCGCATGCACTGTCTCTAAATAAATAAATATTTAAAAAAAAAGAAATAAGCAAAGGGGATTACGAAGTACAAACTTCCATTTACAAAAGAAGTCACGAGGATGAGAAGTACAGTATAGGGATTATAGTCAATAATATTGTAATAACTTTGCATGGTGAAAGATGATGACTGTACTTACCATGGTGAACATTTTTTAATGTATGTAATTGTCAAATCACTGTGTCATACATCTGAAACCAATGTAATATTGTAGGTTGACTATACTTCAATTAAAAAAACCCCACACAGATCTCTGTTTCCTACCCAAGAATTTCCAGTTGACTAGGTCTGGGGTGGGGTCCTAGTATTTGCATTTCTAACAAATTCCAAGGTGATGCTGATACAGCTGGGTGGAGTGGGGGACCACACTTGGAAAACTGTTGCTGTAGAAGTTTCTAAAGCATGGTGTAGAATGAGCCCATCTGTTGGATTCAATCCAATCAAAGCCAATGAAGGAAACCCATGAACACACTTGAGTTTTTTTTAAGATTTTATTTATTTATTTGTCAGAGAGACAGAGAGAAAGCACAAGCAGGGGGAGCGGCAGGCAGAGGGAGAAACAGACTCCCCGCTCAGCAAGGAGCCTGGATGCGGGACTCAATCCCAGGACCGTGGGATCATGACCTGAGCCAAAGGCAGATGCTTAACCGACTGAGCCACCCAGGCGTCCAGAGCTTTTGTTTCTTATGTGGGTAATAGAAATGAGAATATAGTATCTACATTCCAGGAATGCACATGAGAAAGAAAAAGCAAAGCACACGGCAGAATGTTTATTCATTTGCTCATATTATTTATATTACTATCACTGGAACTTGAGAAGATCTTGACATGATTCCTCACTTTGAGTGGCATGTATTGGAGGGTATAGGGGAAAAGGAAAAGAAGATAAAGGAGGAGGAGGAGGAGGAAAGTGAACAGCTATGGGGCAACACCCGTGAGTTGTGAGGGAAGAAGACCATTTTGAAAATTCTGCTAGGAGCTTTGATTACATGAAGGGGCAAGTCGCCTGGGGAGACTGGTCTCCTTCCCTTGAATTTCAGTGCTTCCCTCAAAGGATTGGATTTAAAACTAGCAACGTGAGGCTAGAGCAGAGAGGTCCCCTCCTGTTCTACCTGGGAAATAAAGTGGTACATCGGAGCAGCCTGGAATCCTTAGAGAAGTTTAGAAAGTACTGATTCAATTGAGTAGGGAATCAGTCCTTGCAAACTTAGGTGAGAAAAAGATGTCAGCAGAATCAGGAGCAATTGTGAATCTAGGGCCAGGGGACTTGGAAATATGCCAAATAGTTCATGAAAAATCGGGAGTGCCTTTAGACAGCTATTCTCAATCTGACCATGCATCAGACTCACCTGAAGGGTTTCTTAAAAACTGGTTTGGTGGGCGCCACCCCAGAGTTTCAGCATGTCTAGGTGAAGACTGAGAAAAGTGTATTTCAAAGAACACCCCAGGGAATGATACTTCAGGTGAAACCAGCTGCATCATTTTCAGTCCTGGGGCAAAATGAAAATATGGGGCCCCCAGTTCAAAAATTTCAAGACAGTGACAGCAAAGCATTAAACCAAGAGTGGGGTTCTCTGCGACTGTCCATGTTGTACACATATTAACCCAGCCCAGGCTGCTGGTCTGGGGACATTTTAAGAACCACTGCTTTAGACTTCCTACTTAATTAACCTAAGACTACCCCTACATGGGAATAATAATAATAATAATAATAATAGTAAATTACCCCTTTTCTCCAGAACTTACAAGGGATTTCTGTATCTCCAGGTTGGTCCCACAGAAGGCCACAGGTGTTGAGTTTCTCCCCAGGATGTGGATGTTGAAGACAAATTGGACTTTGGGAATTTCAAGGAGACCGTCTTGTGTGGAGTTTCTGGACAAGACACATTCTCTAAGAAGTGACACAGTGTCTTCCTTCCTGGTCTGGTAGGTGTGAGATTGTGTTGGTAGGGGACAGGTAGTCTATTCACATTTTTTCTGTCCCTAGAGGCCTCATTTCCAAAGCTCCTCATTAGCCAAATTGTTCTCTCTCTTTTAAAGATTTTATTTGAGAGAGAGAGAGAGCACGTGTGCACAAGTCGGGGAGGGGCAGAGGGAGCGGGAGAAGCAGACTCCCCGCTGAGCTGGAAGCCTGGAGAGGGGCTCAATCTGAGGACCCTGGGATCATGACCTGAAATGCTTAACAACTGAGCCACCCAGGCACCCCTCCAGGAGGCAGTTTGCCAAACCCCAGTCATTCCTGATTGTCTTCATGGTTGTTGCCAATACTCTCATTGACTTGAAAGCAACTCTTAATTGGCAAAGTTTGACTCACCACAATCCTAAGCAATTTTTTTTCTAAGCCAGTGTTTTTTTTGTGTGTGTGTTGGCAATATATTTTCTTATATGTACGAAAATATGTAGTATTTAAAATGCTCTCTGCATTCTATTTTGGAAACACTAATGATTGCATCTCTACAGCTTCCGGATTTTTGCCTTAGCAGCACCTGCTCAAGTAGGTCTGCTCTGGGCGCCTGGGTGGCTCAGTCGTTAAGCGCCTGCCTTCGGCTCAGGTCATGGTCTCAGGGTCCTGGGATCGAGTCCCACATCGGGCTCCTTGCTCCGCGGGAGGCCTGCTTCTCCCTCTCCCACTCCCCCTGCTTGTGTTCCTGCTCTCGCTGTCTCTGTCAAATAAATAAATAAAATCTTTAAAAAAAAAAAAAGTAGGTCTGCTCTGACTCTGGTCCTGGGCAAGGGTTCTTGATTTGGGGCTCTCCTGCACCATGGCTAGTCATTGATGGCACTCATCTACAACTGTACTGAGATGCAGGATCCTGGCCATTGTTCAAATAAAGCCCTCTTCGGGCTGTAAGCTACAGCTCCAAGAGAACAAGGAGTTGTCAGTTTTTGCTCACCATGACCCAAATAAGAGCTGATTAAGTATTACTGGTATGAGCCAAGAAATTGTCTCAACCTATGAGGTAGGTGCCATTATTATACCCATAATAGAAATGAAGAGACCGGGGATTAGAGGCAATGGTTTGCTGAGAAGTTGGTAAAAAGTTCTGATTTGTGGCATTGGCAGGTTTCTGTAGTGTAAATTCTCCCACCATGATTTCACTCCACTAATGGGCAGTCATTGAAGGCAGAGTTGGAAGGAGACTGAGTGGTCAGCTGGGCAGAGGGGACTTGGCTCTCCATGGAGAGGGAGTCTCTCTTCTGCCAACTCTCCAAACTTGTTCATGCCTGGAGACCTCGGTACTGGCATTTCTCTTTGGAAATGTCTTCTCCCAGGTGTTCCAATAGTTGGCGCCTGTAATTCATGTTGGTGAATTTCTTTTTAAAGGGCACTTCGAAATTAGTAAGGGAAGACTTTCTTAAGGGGGACTCTTGCAACAGGAAGATCTGCAAAGTGTATGGCAGAACAGGGGAGGGGTGGGTGAACAAAGCTTTAATATGCAGAGGCTGGTAGCTGGGGAAAGGGAAAGAGGGATGTATCTTGAAACTCAACAGCCTGCATTAAATATTGTACTAACAGGAAAGATGAGGCAGGAATGTTCACGTGTTGCAGACATGTTGGGGGGAGGGTGGGAATCTGGACCTGATGTGGAGCAAACAAGTTATAGTGGGGGAAGATCACATAAAATTTAGGGCCCAGCTGTCTCCAACAATTTAGCCTAAATTATGTCAAGCACAAAATTTGATCAGTCTTGTCAAGGTCTCAGCTGGAACATTAGCTCCTCAAAGGGTGCCTGTGTTGCATCAAGTATCCCTTATTAAAAAAAACCCCGAAAACCAAAAACCCACAGTTGCTAATTAGGGAAAAAAAGAGATCCTGTCTTCACCCACACCAATCACTCACTATCCCTTTACCATTTACTTCTTTTCTAACATTTGTCATCTTCCTTACTTGATTTTTCTGTATAATTGTGTGTTGTTTCTTCTACATTCCTGATATTTAGAATCGTGCATGGTACGCAGTAGGCACCAATAAATATTTATTCAGTGAATGAATGAATGAATGAATTATAAAATACCCTGCAAATAGATGCTGCAATTTGGACTTTAATAGGCAGTGAATCACCCTGTTGAGATTTCTGAGTCCTTTTTCTTTCTGGATATTCAGGAAATACCAAGTAAGTGGAATTAAGGTCATCAGGGCATATTTTGGGTTATCAATAATCCGATACAAAGTGCACGCTGTAAGTCTAATTGAGGAGACCAGGGTGTGTCTTTTAATCCTTTTGTCCTTTCAATCGCATTGCTAGATAAAAGTCAGTGACCTTGTGTGTTTCTCCAGACCAAAAGCATGCTGTAGCTCAGAAATGTGTGAATAGCCTCCTGGCTCAAACTCTGACCTCGCTGACCTACGGATTTCTGTGTGTCTTGGTGAGTAATTGTGGCAGGGGGTTCCCCTCTTCCCTTCACTTTGTAAGAGAATTTTTAATTTACAGAATGTTTGCTCTTTTTAAGATTTTATTTATTTACTTGAGAAAGAAAAAGCATGAGTGGGGGGAGGGGCAGAGAGAGAGAAGCAGGCTCCCCACTGAGCAGGGAGCCCTGTGTGGGACTCCCAGGATCATGACCTGAGCTGAAGGCAGATGCTTAACTGACTGAGCCACCCAGGTGCCCCACAAAGATTTTTTTCAGAGAGGGGGGCGGGAGGGGCAGAGATAGAGGGAGAGAGAGAAGCTGAAGCAGAGTTAGAGCTGAGCACAGAGCCAGATGTGGGGCTCGATCTCAGGACCCTGACACCATGACATGAGCTGAAATCAAGAGTTGGATGCTCAACCAGTTGAGCCACCCAGGCGCCCCATCTCCCCCATTTAAAAAACAGCCCTCACCCACTGCCTCATTGGACAGTCTCTCCTCTGCTGCCCTCCTCCTGCTGCCTTGCAGTGTATTCAATAAGCTTCTATCTTCTTTGTTCTGCGTCTGGTGAATCCTTTCACCACCCATGCCATCGGCTTCTGCCCGATCGTCCCCCATATTTGGGGGGCCCCCATCTGATCAAGATACCCCATTTAGGCACCACACTAGAGTACAGCTAGGCAATTAGCTGGGCTGTGGTGGGGCCAGGCATGGGGAGAGCATTTTTTTTTTAAAGATTTTATTTATTTATTTGAGAGAGAAAATGAGAGAGAGCACGAGAGGGAAGAGGGTCAGAGGGAGAAGCAGACTCCCTGCTGAGCAGGAAGCCCGATGTGGGACTCAATCCTGGGACTCCAGGATCATGCATGACCTGAGCCGAAGGCAGTCGCCCAACCAACTGAGCCACCCAGGCGCCCATGGGCAGAGCATTTTAGCAGGATGGCTCTGCCCATTGCAGAACCTGGGGCAGCAAAGAGCTCAGAGTGTTCTGGGAACTGAGCAAGACAGGACAGGGCTGAAAACAAAGCAAGAGAGGAGGAAGGTGAGCTGGATGGTAAGATTTTGAACCTAGATAAGGATTTGATTCTAAGGTTGGTGGGAAGCCATTGTGAGTTGGGGTGGCCCACAGTTGGATTGGTTTAGCTTAGAAGAGCTGGATGCATAGTGAGGTTGGAGGACAGGAAGGACAAGCTTGAGGGAATGGAGACAAGATTAAGGATTAGTAGTAGGGTTTAGGAATGGATGATGGCACTCTAGACTCTTGGTTTCATTTTTTTTAAAACGATTTTATTTATTTTGTGGGGAGAGAGAAAGAGTGCATGAGCACAAGCAGGGGGAGCGGCGGAGGGAGAGGGAGAAGGAGACTCAATGCAGGACTCATCCCAGGACCCTAAGATCATGACCTGAGCTGAAGGCAGACGCTTAACCTGAGCCACCCAGGCGCCCCCAGACTCTTGGTTTCAAAGTGGAATGAGCGAGGATGTCGGGTACAGATGGAAGGTGGAATGGATTCTTTGGAGACTCATTTCTTTTTTTTTTTTTTTAAAGATTTTATTTATTTATTCATGAGAGACAGAGAGAGAGAGAGAGAGAGGCAGAGGGAGAAGCAGGCTCCCAAGGAGCAGGGAGCCCGATGCGGGACTCGATCCCAGGACCCTGGGATCATGACCTGAGCCGAAGGCAGACGCTTAACCATCTGAGCCACCCAGGCGCCCCCCCCTTTTTTTTTTTTTAAGATTTTATTTATTTTTTAGAGAGAGAAAGAGAGAGAGAGAGCACGAGAGGGAAGAGGGTCAGAGGAGAAGCAGACTCCCTGCTGAGCAGGGAGCCCGATGCGGGACTCGATCCAGGACTCCAGGATCATGACCCGAGCCAAAGGCAGTCGCCCAACCAACTGAGCCACCCAGGCGCCCCATTTCTTCACCTGGAATTCTGGGCACTTGATGTGGCCAGAGATGTTCCAGTGACAGGGTACAGTGTTACTAAGAAAAGGCCCCTCTTGTACTTTTGAACATTATAGTCTAGGGGAAGAGAAAGAATGTAAGTAAGCAAAGAACTAAATACATTTTAAAAATTGTGAAGTCTACATAGGAAGAATAAGGGCTCTTAGGCAGTAAGAGGAAACTAGGTTTATATTGGATTTGGGGCTCACGGTAAAGGGGATTCCAAGAAAATGACATCAAAGAGACCAAAAAATAACAGGAAGAATTATCCGTGTGAGGCAGGGGATGGGGGCAGAGTTCAGTAGTTGGGGAGATTTTTCTCTGGAGAAGGCACCATTAAATGATAGGATTTGGGTGTTGAGAGAGAGAGAGAGAAATAGTTTGGATTAGTATGAATTTCAATTTCTGCTATGTGGTAGGGTGGAGGATCCCATCAGAGAATAGTTTTAGATTTCAAGTGATTGTGGCTGCCGTCTGGGGGTGGGGGAGAGTGTGTGCCTATATTTTAAATTTTCAGTTGGCTGTTGTGGCCTGAGGGAGAGGAATCAAGGATTCTGTTAGGTTTTGATTCCAGCCCCTAGGAGGCCAGAAAGCCTTGTCAAATGGTTAATCTTGTTTCAATTAATTATAGCTGTGGGGTGGGACGAAGGGTGGGGTACCAATAATCCTTTCTGCCTGTTTTGAATAGCCAGGGAACTCCTATGCCTTACCAAGAATGCAAATGTTTGAAGTAAAACAATTTTTTTGGAGGAGATAAGTTCAGTTTTTAAGTTTCATTAGGGGAATCTATGAAAATTTTAGATGACAGTAGTTGAAAAGCAGCAGGATATGGTTTTTTTAAAGATTTATTTATTTGTCAGAGGGAGAGAGAGAGCACGAGCAGGGGGAAGGACAGAGGGAGAAGCAGGCTTCCTGCGGAGCAGGGAGCCCGATGCGGGACTCGATCCCACGACCCTGAGATCATGACCTGAGCCGAAGGCAGACACTTAACCTACTGAGCCACTTAGGCACCCCACGATATGGGTCTTAATCATAAATTTGAGATCCCTAACTGGAGGTTTGGGTGTTACCAGCATAGAGATGAAAATTAAGTTCAAGGGAATGTATAGGTAGAGAAGGCACAGAATGAGGCAAGAAATAGGGCCAAGACTGATCCTGGAGGACGGTCAGCAATGGGAGAAGAGCTTGCCAAGATGAAAGACTAGCCAGAGCAGTAAGATGTGGTCACAAAAGCCCAGGGAAGAGAATAACTTAAGAGAGTAGTGATAGAATTTCTCTGAGGGACCAACTTAGTCAAAGACAGAAGTGAATTTACTGGATTAACTCTCATTAATTCTCTCAAATCCTTGGCAATCTTGGCACGGTGAAGGGGGGTGGTGGCCTGGAAGCCTGGCTGGAGTATATTAAGGGAGGCTAGGAAATAGGGACAGTGTGAGGGTAGACTACTCTCTTGAGAAGCTTGGTGGTGAAGAAGAGTGAGCAGTAACCAGAGGGACAAGTGGGACATGAGGCATAAATTTGTTCCAATATGAGAGAGATTTATTATGTTTATGTTATGTTTAAATATTAAAGGTATGAGTACAGTGAAGTAGAAGCTGGTGGTGTTCCCCCAAAACTGCATTCACCTTGTGGTGGGTGTTGGGTTAACGGACACAATTAAACCAAAGAAGAGGAAAAGGAAGGGTTTTACTTACAACAAATAATGGAGAACTCGGGCGGGGGGGGATATTTCCCAAAGTGGTGTTGTCTCCAACAACAAAACTGGGGAATTTTAAGCTAAGGGTGCATACACATACATGAAGGGGCTTGTGCAATGGGGAATTCAGCCTGGAATTGGGAAAAGTCATTTTAAGGTGAGAGTCCAGGTCTTAGTTGATGGAAGTCACCAGGCTGGTAAGGGTCAACATCTGTCAGTTCTCAGGCTTGCCTGGTTTGTCTGGTGTTTTGAGTGATCAAACTGGATTTAAATCCAAAGATAACTCAAGAATGTGCTTTGGGCAAGTAGTCCTGGTCAGGCACAGATCACAAGGTGATGTGTGGCCTAAAATGAGACTTTTTTTTTTTTTTAATATCAAGAAAGCTATGTCTCACTTTTTCTGGGGACCCTTAACTCTGTGCTTACAGTGGTGTTGGAAAAGAAGAACCAAGGAATAATAATAGATGTCTTCCGAGAGAAGATATGAAGGGATTAGACCAGTGGTTCTTAATTTTGCCCCCAAGGGGACACTTGGCAATATCTGGGGACAGTTTTAATTTTGCAACTGGAGAGGATACTACTGACATCTACTGGGTAGAGTCCAGTAGCATATGGGTGCCCCCATAACAAAGATGTACCCAGTCCCAAATGTCAGTAGTGCCAAGAATGGGAAACCTTGCCATAGCAAAGTCAGAGATCCTGGCTTTAGATAAGAAGGAAGAGGGGCACCTGGCTGGCTCAGTGGGACAAGCATGTGACTCTTGATCTCAGGGTTGAGTTAGAGCCCCCCATTGGTTGTAGAGATTACTTGAAGATAAAAATCTAAAAAAAACCCAAAAAACAAGACAGTGGGAAGACACTTCCTTGATAGCAAAGTGAAAGAAGAAAGAAACTATGATGGTGTCATGCTACATTTGAACTAGTGGCAAGGAGAGGAAAAATTCTTTTTTCCTCTCTCTCTTTTTGTTTTCTTTGTTTTGAAAAATCCTCATCATTGTTACTGTTTCTTTGTGAAGTAAGGTGTGAGATCATTTGTTGTTGAAGAGGTAAAGTTGAGACCATGTGAGTCAAAGTCCTGGAGAAACTGTGAAAAGAGCTTTGGATAACTAAGGGATTAAATTGCTTGTGGGGCTTTTCCTTTAGCGTTGAAGGCCTGTTTAGATGGCCTCAAATTTTTAGTGCTTCCCATCCAACTGGTTAGGTAGGAATCACCCAGGTGAGATGGACAGATGGCTGAAAATATCCAGAGCAGGTGTTGTAATAGGCCAGGGAGAGAGGAATTTGAGGTTTTGGAAAATGCATTATTGAAATAATGGGCCATGGCATTTTATATGTAGTGCCAAGGGAATAAGGGATTATAAATAGCAAAATAATGGGAGGATGGACAGCTTGGATGCCTCTTTGAGGGAAGAGAGCAGGTGCACTACAGATTAAAAAGTGAACAGGGTAGGGGTGTAGCTAGCTACTGTGTTCAGAGCAGGGTGGTCTGACTTTTGTCTTGGAGAGGGCAAGAGTCTAGGATGAGAAGTTCTAAGTATGTGACTGAGATGTGAAAGTCATGGATGTTTGCTAGCTTACTCCCTAGAACATAAGAATCATCTTGAATCAAGGCAGAGAGTAGGAGTGGGAGTCAGATGCCAAAGACTTAATGAGTTAGGTCTATGCCTTGGTGCCATTGCAGATGAAAAACCAGGGAAATGCAGTGGAGATTGGAGTTTTGATAAGTGATGGGCAAGGTGGTTTGATAATATGGTAGATTTGCATTAGGGACGAAGATCAAGAATACCTATCAGATTGCTTTGAGGTTGTCCATGGCAAGAAAACCAAAGACCCAGGATCAAAGACTGCTTGAATCTGAAAGAAACACATGCTAGATGGGCTATGATGGAATTGTCCTCAGTGCAAAGGAGACATGAAAAGCTTGCAAATTCTCTTGTTATTCTTCATTTCAGAGCCAGGCCTGCAGTGGACCAGAGAAGCAAGAAGAGGAGCATCCTGGGCATATTTACTCACAGTCTTGCAAAATGGCAGCCACATATCTGTCTGCTATATTTGGTAAGTTCCTAGGGTAGATGCACTTCATCAGAATTAAGTGGCCTTTCCCCCTTAGAGTGGGCACCGAAGAAGAAAGCTGAGTAGCCATGGAGGAGGACTGGGAAGGAGAGGCTAACATGAGAGGAGATCGTGTGGAACTCTACAAAACCCTTGGAGCCCCAGAATTTGCTCCCGTATGAGTCAGTGGTCTTTGGGATTCTGGAGGAAAGGCATTGGTGCATGGTGGGGAGATAGGGAAGAATATTGAGGGGTGGCACTTCATTATTCCATCCATCTGTTTTATAAAGTTGGGAAAGATCACAGCTCTACCATTCTGAGTTTCAATTTCCCTGCCTAAGAAAATGGAGACTAAATCCATTCCTCATGGGTATCAAAGCACCCTATTTTCTGGCTCAGGGGCTGGGGGGCAGGACAGGTTGCTCTGGCTAATATGCTTTGTGGGTGTGTGTATATGTATGGATGACTCAATTGATATTGGGCAATTTCTAGGCTGTGCCTAGACTGTCATGTCACCTTGTCCTCTATCTCTGCTTGTTCTAGACCATGCTGGTATCCATAAGAGGAACACAAAGATGGAAAACATCCACTCTGCATTACAGGTAATTTTCTCCTAAAATACACTTCTGCCCTGAAGTGAATGTGTTTCCTGCCAACAGTGCACAGAGTGTTAACCTGAAAAATAAAACTTGTCACAGTGATTTTACCAGCAAAAATGGGTTTATTCGAGAATAGCAGAGAATTGCAATTTGGGGCAAGCAAGCTACAGCCAAACTGTAGGCAAGTCTGGAGAACAAAGGAGAGGAACCTCTTTTATAGAGGAAAGGAGGGAGTTGGAAGGCTGTTACAAACAAAATGTCTATTGAATCAATTGGGAATTCAATGTCTTGTGGCTTTCCGTTGGCTGAGTTGTGGCAGTCTCGCATTCCCTGCGCTGTTGCCTAAGGAGGAGAAAACCTTTCTTTCTCCTGCTGGGGTACTGAGTAGTAGCTATTAAAGTAAGGACACTTGGCAAGGTCTGTCTCTTCCTGTTGGGTCTGCAAGGACCACTGGTGGTGGGGGCGAGAGCTCCCCCTGCTGACCTACTGGCTCCATTTCAGTGAAGTTTCCCTTTATTTTCACAGGAGCCTTAAAACCCATTTTTTATCTTGAGACCTGATGGCGGTTCAGGGATTTCCAACAAAATTACTCCAGTATTCTACTACCTACAAATTTTTTCAGGCATCTTTTCTACTTAGTGATGTTAGGGAAAGTAAAAGGTTATAAAATATATGGTCATTCTGTGGGGGGGAAATGTATTTATTTAGCAAGTATTTTTCTTGCAGTGTGTTCAGGTCCGTGTTGGATCCTGGAGTTAGAAAGAGTAAGACTGTAAAAACTCTCAGGCTAGAAGTGGGGAGATACATCTCATCGTGTGTTAGAGATGCTTTAAATTCTGGGAAACGGAATGAGATCCTTAGGGAGTGAGAGGGGAGCGGACTGAAGGATCTTTTTTTAAAGATTTTATTTAGTCGTTTGACAGAGACACAGCGAGAGAGGGAACACAAGCAGGGGGAGTGGGAGAGGGAGAAGCAGGCTTCCCGCCAAGCAGGGAACCTGATGTGGGGCTCGATCCCAGGACCCTGGGATCATGACCTGAGCCAAAGGCAGACGCTTAACGACTGAGCCACCCAGGCATCCCCAGGACTGAAGGATCTTGAAATTACTATGAAAGAAGTCTTTCATCCCCAGTGAAGTCACCATGACTCTCTTCCCACGAATGTTGGTGGGGTTGGTTGCTGATTGATACAGGATGTGTTGATATTTTAGGACTCAATAACATTTGAGGATGTGGCCATGGACTTCACCCAGGAGGAATGGGTGTTATTGAATTCACGTCAGAGAAAACTGTACAGAGATGTGATGCTGGAGAACTATAGAAACTTGGCATCTCTGGGTAAGGCTGACAATCCTTATTTACTGAGTTTGAGCATGGATTTCTGGGGCGAATAAGCCCCAATTACCTTGTGGTTAATATGAATATTCCTGTTAGTTTCTTGTAGGTTTTGTAGATTTTTACTTTTAAGAAAAATAGCTTGTATTAAGATATAATACACCTACCATAGTTTAGCCATTTAGAGAATACAAAGCAATATGTTGTGTATGTCTTTTTTTTTTCTTATTCCAGAACATTCTCATTGCCCTGCCTACAGGGCATTTCATTCCTCCTTGGTCTCTAGGCCCTGGCAACAACTGATACACTTTGTGTTTCTATAGACTTGCCTGTTCTGAATATTCATATGAATGGAATCATACCACATGTGGTCTATTGTGACTGGTTTCTTCCACATAGCATAATGTTTTCTAGGTTTATTCATGTTGTAGCATTTATCAGTACTTAATTCTTATTTATTGCTGGATAATATTCTGTTGTGTAGACATACAATTTGGTTATCCATTCATTAGCTGATGGACATTTGTATTTTTGGCATTTGCTACTACGAATAGTGCTGCTACAAGCATTCATACAGGTTTTTGTGTGGACATAAGTTTTCATTTATCTTTGGTATTATGCCTTGGAGTGGAATTGCTGGGCCATTTAGTAACTCTATGCTTAACATTTTGAGGAACTGCCAAAGAGTTTTCCAAATTGGCTGTATTATTTTACACTCTCTCCAGCAATGATAAACGTTCCAACATCTCCACATTCTTGCCAACACTTGATACTGCCTGTCTTTTTGTTTATAGCTATCCTAATGTTTAAAATGGTATCTCATTGTGGTTTTGATTTGCATTTCCTTAATGACTAATGATGTTGAGCAACATTTCATGTACTTACTGGGCATTTGTATGTCTTCTTTGGAGAAGTGTCCATTTTAATCCTTTGCCCATTTGGGGAACCTGGCTGGCTCAGTCAGTTAAGGGTCCAACTTTCGATTTTGACTCAGGGCTCGATCTCAAGGGGGCTCTGTGCTCAGCAGGGAGTCTGTTGAGATTCTCTCCCTCTTCCTCTGCCCCTCCCCCCACTCATGCACGCTCTTGCTCTCTTTAAAATAAATCTTTATTTTTTTAAAAAGATTTCATTTATTTATTTGACAGAGACAGAGACAGCTGGAGAGGGAACACAAGCAGTGAGGAGTGGGAGAGGGAGAGAGAAGCAGGGTCCCTGCTGAGGCTAGACATGGGGCTTGATCCTAGGACCCTGGGATCATGAACTGAGCCAAAGGCAGACACTTAACCAGCTGAGCCATCCAGGTACCCCTAAAATGAATAAATCTTTAAAAATATTCTTTGCTCATTTAAAAATTGGATTGCCATTTTTTTTTTCTATTGAGTGGTGAATGTTCTTTATATATTCGGGATACAGATCCCTTATCAGATACATGATTTGCAAATATTTTCTTACATTCTGTGTGTTGCCTTTTCACTTTCTCGGTGTTATCATTTGTGGCATAAAAGTTTAATTTTAATAATCCAGCTTTTCAATTTTCTGGACTCCCAATTCTATTCCAGTGGTTTATATTTCTATCCTTACACCAGTACCATGCTGTTGATTAGTGTTGTAGCTTTGTAGTAAGATTTGAATTGGTAAGTGTGAATTTTCCAACTTTGTTTCTGTTTTTCAAGATTGTTTTGACTATTCTGGATCCCTTGCATTTTCATATGAATTTTAGACTAACTTTATCAATTTCTGCAAAGAATTTAGGTGGGATTTTGATAAAAGCCACGTTGAATCTGTAGATCAAACTGGGGAGTGTTGCCAACTTAGCAATATTAATTATTCCAGTCTATGAACATGGGATGTCCTTTCATTCATAGAGGTCTTTATTTATTTTTTATTTATTATTATTTTTAAAGATTTTATTTATTTATTTGACAGAGAGAGACACAGCGAGAGAGGGAACACAAGCAGGGGGAGTGGGAGAGGGAGAAGCAGGCTTCCCGCTGAGCAGGGAGCCCGATGTGGGGCTTGATCCCAGGACCCTGGGATCATGACCCAAGCCTAAGGCAGACGCTTAACGACTGAGCCACCCAGGTGCCCCGAGGTCTTTATTTTTGTTAATGTATTTTTAATTAATTAAAATTTTAAATTAAAATATAATTAACATACAGTGTTATATTAGTCTCAGGTGTACAATAGAATGATTTAACAGTTTTATACATTACTTAGTGCTCATCAAGGTAAGTGTATGCTTAATCTCCTTCACCTTTTTCAGGAGGTTTGTTCTCTGTAGTTTGTTCTCTATAGTTAAGAATTTGTTTTGGTTTTGTCTTTTCTTTGTTGGTTTGTTTAGTTTCTTAAATTCCACATATGGGTGAAATCATACAGTCTTTTTCTCCGACTGACTTACTTAATGTTATACTCTAGATCTATCCATGTTGTTGCAAATGGCATTCTTTTTTATGGCTGAATAATAATTCCATTGTATATATGTACCACATCTTATTTATACAATCATCTGTTGATGGACACTTGGTAAAACTATTGTAAATAAGGCTGCAATAAACAGGGGTGGAGATATCTTTTTGAATTAGTGTTATCATTTTCTCTGGGTAAATACCCAGTAGTGGAATTACTGGATCATATGGTAATCCTAATTTAAATTTTTGAGGAACCTCCATATTGTTTTCCACAATGGTTGCACCAGTTTATGTTCATGTGTCTGTTGGCCATCTGGATGTCTTCGGAAAAATGTCTATTCATGTCCTCCGCCCACTTTTTAATTGGAATATCTTTTTTTTTTGGTGTTTTATAAGTTTCATATATTTTGAATATTAACCCCTTATTGGATGCATTATTGGCAAATACCTTCTCCCATTTAGTAGGTTGTCTTTTGTTGATTGTTTCCTTTACTGTGCAAAAGCTTTTTATTTTGTTGTAGTACCAATAGTTTAGTGTTGTTTTTGTTTCCCTTGCCAGAGGACTTGTATTTAGAATTCTGCAGCTAATGTCGAAGAAATTACTGCCTATGTTTTCTTCTAGGAATTTAATGGTTTCATGTTTCACATTTAGGTCTTTAATCCATTTGAGTTTATTTTTGTGTATGGTGTAAAAAAGTGATCCAGTTTCATCCTTTTGCATGTTGCTGTACAGTTTTGCCAACACCATTTGCCAACACGCTGGGATCATGACCTGAGCCAAAGGCAGATGCTTAACCAACTGAGCCACTCAGGAGCCCCTTGTAGAAAGAATTTGGAAATTTTCCTTTTTCCTTTTTCTGGGGGAATAGAGATGAGTAGGTATTAACTCTTCTTTAAATGTTTGGTAGAGTTCACCTGTGAAGCCTTTGGTCCTGGACTTGTTTGTTGGGAGTTTGGTTTTTGTTCTGTTTTGTCTTACTGATTCAATGTCATTGTTAGTAATTGGTCTGTTCAAAAATTCTATTTCTTCCTGATTCAGTTTTGGGAGGTTATATGTTTCTAGGAATTTATCCATTTCTTCTAGGTTGTCCAATTTGTTGGCACATAACTTTTTATAATATTCTCTTATAATGCTTTGTATTTCTGTGGTGTTGGTTGCTATTTCTCTTCCTTCATTTATGATTTTGAGTCCTCCCTCTTTTGATGAGTGTGGCTAAAGCTATATTGATTTTGTTGATCTTGTCAAAGAACCAATTCTGTTCTATTGTTTTTTTGTCTCTCAATTTCATTTATTTTCTAATCTTCATTATTTCCTTCCTTATACTGGATTTGGGCTTTGTTCTTTTTGTAGCTCCTTTAGGTGGAAGGCTAGGTTGTTTATTTGAGACTTTTCATGCTTCTTGAGGTACACCTGTATTGCTATAATCTTCCTCTTAGAAAAGTTTCTGCTGCATGCCAGAGGTTTTGGACAATTGTGATTTCATTTTTATTTGTCTCCATGTATTTTTAAACTTTGAATTCCTGGTTGACCCATTCTTTGTTTATTAGCATGTTATTTAACTTCCATGTATTTGTATTATTTCCAGATTTTTTTCTTGTGGTTTATTTCTAGTTCCATACCACTGAGGTTGAAAAAGGATGCATGATATGATTTCAGTTTTTTTTGTATTTGTTGAGACTTGTGAGCTTGTGACCCAATATGATCTTCTGTAGAATGTTTTGTGTGCACTGAAAAGAATGTTGTCTCCTGTTGTTTTGGGATGGAATGTTTTGAATATGTTAGGTGCATCTGGTCTAGCGTGTCATTCAAATCCATGGTTTCCTTGTTGATTTTTAAAAAATATTTTATTTATTTCTGTGTGTGAGAGAGAGCGAGCAAGCATGAGCAGGGGGGAGGGTCAGAGGGAGAAGCAGACTCCCTGCTGAGCGGGGAACCCACCATGGGACTTAATCCCAGAACACTGGGATCATGACCTGAGCCAAAAGTAGATGCTTAACTGACTGAGCCACCCAGGCACCCTCCTTGTTGATTTTCTGTCTGGATGATCTATCCATTGACATAAGTAGGTGTTAAAAGTCCCCTGCTAGGGGCGCCTGGGTGGCTCAGTTGGTTAAGCGACTGCCTTCGGCTCAGGTCATGATCCTCATGAGTACCAGGATCGAGTCCCGCATCGGGCTCCCTGCTCAGCAGTGAGTCTGCTTCTCCCTCTGACCCTCCCCTCTCTCAAGCTCTCTCTATCTCATTCTCTCTCTCAAATAAATAAATAAAATCTTAAAAAAAAAAAGTCCCCTGCTATTATTGTATTACTATTGATTTCCTCTTTTTTTTTATAGTTTTATGTATTTGGGTGCTCCCAAGTTGGATGCATAAATATTTACAATTGTTACGTCTTCTTGTTGGGTTGTTCCCTTTATGATGATACAGTGTCCTTGTCTCTTGTTACAATCTTTTTTTTAAAGTCTTATTTTGTTCCATGTAAGTATTGTTACTTCAGCTTTCTTTTCACTTCCATTTGCATTGTAAATGTTTTCCCATCCCTTTACTTTCAATCTACATGTGTCTTAATGATTGTTTTATAAGACAGCATATAGATGGGTCCTGCTTTTTTAAAAATTTTATTTATTTATTTATTTATTTATTTATTTATCTTATTATGTTATGTTAATCACCATACATTACATCATTAGTTTTTGATTGGTCCTGGTTTTTTTTAATCCATTCAGTCACTCTGTCTTTTGGAGTATTTAGTCTATTTACATTCATAGTTATTATTGATAGGTATGTACTTATTGCCATTTTGTTACTTGTTTTATGGTTGCTTTTGTAGTTCTTTGTTCCTTTCTTCTCTTGCTCTCTTCCCTTGTGATTTTGTGGCTTTCCTTAGTGATATGCTTGAATCCCTCTCTCTTTATTTTTAGGGTACCTATTACAGGTTTTTGACTTGTGGTTACCAGTCAGGCTTATATATAATGTCCTATGCATATAGCAAGTCTATATTAGGTTGTTCTCTTAAGTTTGAACCCATTCTAAAAGTACTAAATTTTTATCCTCCCCCACATTTTATGTATATTTTGTCATACTTTACATCCTTTCATTTTGTGAATCCCTTGACTGATTTTTTAAAAGATTTTATTTATTTATTTGAGAGAGGGAAAGAGAGCAGGAGCAGGGGGAGGGGAGGGGCAGAGGGAGAGGGAGAAGCAGACTCCTTTTTTTTTTTTTTAAAGATTTTATTTATTTATTCATGAGCGACAGACGAGGGGGGAGAGAGAGAGAGAGAGAAGCAGGAAGCAGAGGGAGAAGCAGGTTCCCAAGGAGCAGGGAGCCTGATGCGGTACTCGATCCCAGGACCCTGGGATCATGACCTGAGCTGAAGGCAGACGCTTAACCATCTGAACCACCCAGATGCCCAGCAGACTCCTTGCTGGGCAGGAAGCCTGATGTGGGGCTTGATCCCAGGATCCTGAGATCATGACCTGAGCTGAAGGCAGATGCTTAACTGACTTGAGCCACCCAGGCATCCCCCTTGACTGATTTTTATAGATATAATTAATTTTAACTGCTTTTGTGCTTTAACCTACATGCTGATTTTATAAGTGATTAATCTGCTACTTTTATTACGTTTGAATGTACCTGTGAAATTTTTTCCTTTTATAGTTTTATTACTTCTGATTATGGCCTCTCTTTTCCAAAGGATTCCCATTACCATTTCTTGTAAGGCTGGTTTATTGGAGATAAATTCCTTTAACTTTTCTTTATCTGGGAAACTCTTTATATTGTATTCTGAATGACAGTCTTGCTGGGTAGAGTATTCTTGGTTCTGGGTTTTTGTCCTTCCAGCACTTTGAATATATCATACCACTCCGTTCTGGCATGGAGAGTTTCCACTGAAAAATCAGCTCATAGCCTTATAGGGTTTCCCTTGTATGTAACTGTTTTCTTTAATCTTGCTGCTTTTAAAATTCTCTATCACTCCCTTTTGCCAGTTTAATAACTTTGTGTCTTGGTGTGGACCCTCTTAGGCTGATTTTGTTGGGGTTGACTTCTGGATCTGGATGTTTGTTTCCTTCCCCAGATTAGGCAAGTTTTCATTTATTATTTCTTCAAATAAATTTTCTGCCCCCTTTTCTCCCTTCTCATTCTGGGATCCATATAATGCAAGTATTATTATGCTTGATGGTGTCATTGAATTCCCTCAACCTATTTTTAAAGATTTTATTTACTTATTTGACAATGAGAGAGAGAGACAGCGAGAGAGGGAACACAAGCGGGGGGCGGGGGGCGGGGGGCGGTGGGAGAGGGAGAAGCAGACTCCCCACTGAGCAGGGAGCCCAATGCAGGGCTCGATCCCAGGACTCTGGGATCATGACCTGAAGTGAAGGCAGACGCTTAACCGACTGAGCCACCCAGGCGCCCCTATTCTTAATTTTTTAAAAGACTTATTTTTAAGTAATCTCTACACCCAGTGTGGGCCTCAAACTCATAACTCCAACATTAGGAGTCACTTGCTACACCAACTGAGCCAACCAGGTGACCCTGTATTGGGCTCCACACTAAGCATAGAGCCTACTTAAAAAAAAATTAAAAGTGCTTATTTTAATTTTTAAGCCTGGTTTCCTGGTCATTGTAACTTAGCCATCCAATGCTTAGTAGCATTTTCTTAAATGCCTTGCCTATGTCTCTTCATCTCTTACCAAGTAGACCTATGTAAGAAGTCATGCCTTTAAGCTTCAGGCAACTTATAAGACCAGGTTATTTTTCATTTCCTGTTTGGGCAGGGTCTAAAAGTCAACCAAATCTGGGTGACTTGGGACTTACCCTCTTTCCTGAGCATGTGCATAGCCTTGTTCATGCATAGAATTCTGGATCCCCAGGAACTGATTGGAGCTTTTCAAAGTCTCCAAGGTTATACCCTGGGGATAAGAGCTTTTTTTTCTGCTAAGCCGAGCTCTGAGTAAAATCTAAAGCCCAACACCCTGAGCATATAGATTTTCTAGGGAGCTGCAAGCTTAGATTAATAACATCTGTATCTACATCTATAATCATATATATATTCATGATAGATTATACACAGACACACACACACAGTGGATTTTAATGTAAGAGTACAAAGGACTTACTGATACAGTTTCAGATTCTGCATTGCAACTAACCTAAAGAAACCTCCACTTGTTGAGTTTTGGTGCTTTATCAAGGAATATCCACACTGATTTTTAAAGACAGTTAATATGTTCCTCTCCTTTTCAACTACTTATCTGTGTGAGTCTAGATATTCTTCAAAGTAACATAGAAAACACTATGCAGAAGTAGATATGAGAATCCAGAGATCTTTTGAGCCATGCATTAATGAGGTGTACCATGCAAAAAAAATGATACCACTCTTCTCAGTAGCTTTTTAAATATGTAAGTATTTTAGAAAATATTGACTGTTTTGGGGCTGGTTCTTTTAACAATGCTCAGGTCTCTTTGTTGACTGCAAGGCTGCTGACTTTTGACTACTATGCCATAGAGCTAAGGAGAGAGGAAGAATAGAAATAATCTGAAGTTAAAATGTCAAAGACCCTTTTCTCTTACCAAGGTTCAGTGATTTTTCTTGGATAGACAATTTTCCATTTGTTCTGTGTCTTTGGTGAGTTTCTAGGGTTCTGAATTGATTGATTCTATTTGTTTTGCCCATCATTTGTTGTTTTAGTGGGGGAGATAAGTTAAACAGGGTCCTCATTCTATCCTTCTGAAAGCTGATCTCCCAAGTGCTTTTACTTTTGCTTCGTCTGTTAGAAATTTGTCATAATCATTTCGTTGCTCCTAAAGCCATACTTGTCTTTCTTCAGAACCTCGAAGATAAAGTTTCCACAGTTTGATGATAGTTTGTTGTACACTACATGGTTCTCTCACATGCATTGTTCCCCATTGTAGAAAAGCAGCTCAGCAAACCCACTGTGATCACCCAGATGGAACAGGAAGATGAAATGAAAACAGAGACAGGAAATCACCAAGATACCTGTTCAAGTGAGCAATGGGCATATATAAACGTTTTGTACCACATCTGGTGGGGGTGAGGAAGAGGTACATTATGAAAAGTCAAACGGAACTTAAAAAAATACCCTTTAAATTTGACTAGAAAGCAGAGACCATTTGGTATGAGCTTATTCATGTACTTTCAGAATTCCCCAATCTTTGGCTTTTAACCTATCATTTCATAGTTTTTTTTTTTTTAATTACGTTATGTTAGTTACCATACAGTACATCATTAGTTTTTGATGCAGTGATCCATGATTCATTGTTTGCGTATAACACCCAGTGCTCCATGCAATATGTGCCCTCCTTAATACCCATCACTGGGGGCGCCTGGGTGGCTCAGTTGGTTGAGCGACTGCCTTCGGCTCAGGTCATGATCCTGGAGTCCCGGGATCGAGTCCCGCATTGGACTTCCTGCTCAGCAGGGAGTCTGCTTCTCCCTCTGACCCTCTTCCCTCTCGTGCTCTCTATCTCTTATTCTCTTTCTCTCAAATAAATAAAATCTTTAAAAAAAAAACCCATCACCGGGTTAACCCATCCCCCCACTCCCCTCCCCTCTAAAACTCTCTTGTTTCCTGGAGTCCATAGTCTCTCATGGTTTGTCTCCCTCTCTGATTCCCCCCCTTCATTTTTCCTTTCCTTCTCCTAATGTCCATATTTTTCCTATGCTCTGAAAGAAAGACCTGTCTTATGCTTTAATATTTACATCTAGAATCACTAATTATTCCCGTTTTGCGTGTGTGTGTATAGCTATAACCTTTGCTTATTAACATAATTTTCATTCATGAGAGAACCATTCCTTAATAAATGATACAAAACACTAAAGCATGTAAATATCATTCTTTTGATCATGAATGCATTTTTCTTACACATTGTCTTCCTAAGTTTAGGGTCAATTTGAAGAGAAATCCACATGGATCTTAGTTTTGTCCTTATCCCACCATTTCATACTTGAGGTTGTTTCCTGTTTGTGTCAGATTGGGCTTGGGCTTTACCTGCTTTTGTCAGCATATTGACAAAAACTTACTTTCCCCCAATTTGTTCAGATGGGATGGTTCTCCTTAAAACCAAACAATCACAACATAAGCAAGATATTTTGGAGAAAGAAGCACTCAGTGGCAAGAAGGTAAGAGTCACATGAGAATTTCTTGCTCTCTGTTAGAAGTCCAGAATTCCATGTAATACTAAGGGGGCAATTTGAGGCACTCATTTTACCAACAGAAAACAGGAAATTTTCTAAATATCATGAATTTGAAGGAAATGTACCCATTAGCTCCAAAAATGGTTGCTGAGAATCCCAAAAGTAAATATTTTCATAATGGAAGTTAGATACTAAATACTGAAAACATTCACTCCAAAGCATTTATGTGTTAAATGTCTCTATAAAGAGACCCTGATGGGAGCCATGTGGTATAAGATTCATCTTATTCAGGGCGCCTGAATGGCTCAGTTGGTTAAGATTCATCTTATTCAAGCTAATAAACTCAGACAGGAACTGTATATTCACTAAGAAAATGTTAGGTAAGCTCTAGTTTAAACATGTCAGAATTTATGATTTTGGGGGGAAGATTCTCAATCAATATAATGAATGTGATAAATCTTGTGATCATAACTTACTTCAACCAATAGGAGCAAACTCATGGAGGAAGATCCATTGAACAGAGTAAAATTGCCTTAAGCATGAAATCTAGCATCACTCAGAATCAGAGAATTCATCCTGACGAGAATCCCCATCAATGCCTTCATCTCAGGAAAGCCCTCAGAGATTCTTTACACCTTAACCCACATGAGAACATTCTTTTGGGGGAAAAATCCAGTGACTGTAAAAATGATAAAAATACCTTCATCAGGAGTTCTTTCTTAGCTGTGCATAAGAAACAACACACAAGAGAGAAATCCTACAAATGCACTGACTCTAGGAAAGTCTCAAGTTCAATCTTATATATTAAGCATGAAAAAACTTGCATTAGAGAGAAATATTTTCAATGTAGCCAGTGTGGTAAAGTATTACAGAACCACTCATCCGTTGCATTGCACATGAGAACCCACAGTGGAGAAAAACCCTTTAAATGTAACCAGTGTGGGAAAGCCTACAGTTCAAGCTCTTATCTTACACGGCACAAGAGAATTCACACTGGGGAGAAGCCCTATGAATGCCGTGACTGCGGAAAAACCTTCAGAGATAGTTCACTTCTTAGACAACATGAAGGAATTCATTCAAGGGACAAACCTTACAAATGTGATCAGTGCAACAAAACCTTCAGTAGAAGCTCTAGGCTTACCATGCACAAGATAATACATACCAAAGAGAAGCCCTATGCCTGCAATGATTGTGGGAAAACCTTCAGTATTCTTTCATACCTTACAAGACATAAGAGGGTCCACACTGGTGAGAAGTCCATTGAGTGTAGCCACTGTGGAAAAGCATTAAGTAGTCCATCAGCCCTGAAGACACACCTGCGGATACATACTGGAGAGAAACCTTACAAGTGTGATCAGTGTGGGAGGACTTTTAGAATGAGCTGTAATCTTAATGTGCACAAGAAAATGCATGCTGGAGAGAAACCGTGTACTTGCAATGACTGCGGGAAAGCCTTCAGGGATCACTCGTGCCTTAAAGAACACGTGAGAATTCACACTGGGGAGAAACCCTTTGCATGTAATCAGTGTGGGAAAGCCTTCAGAGTGAAATCTTTCCTCACTTTGCATAAGAAAATTCACATGAAAATGAAACAATATGAGTGTAAGGAGTGTGGGAAAGCCTTCGGTGGTCTCTTATCTCATAGGAGACACATGAAAAAGCACACGAGGGAAAAGAAACCCTTCAAGTGTAATGAGTGTGAAAAGGCTTTTAGGAGACATGTGTCCCTTACAATACACATAAGAACTCACACTGGAGAGAAACCCTATGAGTGTGATCAATGTGGGAAAACCTTCAGCGTAAGGTGTAATCTTACTGTGCACAAGAGAGTCCATACTGGTGAAAAGCCCTATCAATGCAGTGTCTGTGGACATGCTTTCAGTAAGCTCTCCTCCCTTCGACGGCATCACGAGAGCACTCATGCTGGATAAAACTCCTAGTAAATGTCCATGTGCAGTAGTTCTCAGTGAACTCTCAATCTTGAAGGCATACAAGCAAATGCTAACTGCAGAGGAGAACTGGATGTAAAGAATGGGAGAAAGTCTCTGAATAATAGGTCTGTGGGAGAAATATAAGTTATGCAATGACTTCGATAAATCCTTTATTCATCCCCTAGATATGTGACCACTTGACGCTGAAAGTAAAAACTTTTAGTGTCTTAAAGACTTGTTACTTGAGAAAAATAAACACCTAATGTTTTAAGCCACCATGTTTACAGTGTGTGTGTGTATGTATGTGTGTGTTGGGAGGGAGGTTTTATTCACAAATGACTGTCACTAATCAATATAACTCATGTCAGGTTTTTAGAAATTTATATATATAATTAAAAAATTGAATTGCTACTGGGGTACCAGGATAGAGGTTACCTATATTAACTATTACACACACTGGTCAAGAAGTAGAAAGAACATTTTCAGCACTTAGAATCCTCCTTCAGTGCTTCCTTTTCACTCACAGTCACCCTAATTCTTGCCACCAGAACATGTGTACTCTGTGGATTCAATGCATTTTTAAAAAAGATTTTTTTAAGTAATCTCTGCACACAATATGGGGCTCGAACTCACAACCCCGAGATCAAGAGTCGCATGTTCCATTGACTGAACTGACCAGGTGCCCCTAGAATCATGCATTTTTAACAGCTTTATTGAGATATAATTCACATGTCATAAAGTATAAAATTCAGTGGTTTTCAGTATGTTTACAGAGTTACATGCACTGTTATACCTGATATGTTATCATTGTATTTGGATTCTGCTCAACTCTATTTGTGAGATTCATCTATGTTCTTCCTTTAGCAGAGTTTTATTGATATATAGCTTTCCATTTTATGAATATGCACAATTCATAAAACTGTTCTGGACATTTGGGTTGTTTATAGTTGGAGTATTTTTTTTAGGATTTTATTTATTTGAGAGAGAGCGAGAGAGAGAGCATACAAGCAGGGGGAGGGACAAAGGGAGAGGGAGAAGCAGACTCCCTGCTGAGCAGAGAGCCTGATGTTGGGCTCTGTCCCAGGACACTGAGATCATGACCCCAGCTGAATGTAGGTGCTTAACTGACTGAGCCACTCAGGAGCCCTATAGTCATAAGTAGTTCTGCCATGAACGTTCTTGCACATGTTTTAGTTCACAGCTGTAGGTATTTTTGTAGGGTCTATATTTTAGGAGTGTGGTCTGGGTCATAGGGAATACACATGGTCATGTTTATTCAACACTACCAGTTTTACAAAGTAGTAGTTCCAATATGCATTTCTGCTCTCTTGGTAATATTTTACACTGTCTTTTTCATTTTGGCAGTTTTGATGTGTGTTATAGGACCATATTTTGATTTTTAAATTTTTAAAAACTTTTCATTTTGAACCAGTTTTGCACTTAACTAGAAAAGTTTGTACAGAGTCCTGTATATCCCAGTTTCCCAAGGTTAATGCAATTTATCACCTGCTTGCTTCTGGTTAGTGCTTTTTTGTGTGTGATCTCTAAGATTGCTAGTTTTGATGTCGATTTTCCAGGCAACCTCCAAAAGCCTGCCCAAGTAACTAGTAAATTGGTTTCTTTGCATGCACTCTTTCCTATTATAGTACTTACCTCATTCATTAAGAGACTTTAGTTAAAGAAAAATTTCTTAGAGTGACTTTGTGGAGATGCTCCCATGATACATGCCCTGCGTCCCCAGTCTCTTCCCTATGGGGACTTAAACACCACTTTGCTTCTCTTATTCTTCCAGTGATAATCTCTGCCTCAGAGAACACTGGGGATTGGTCTAATGAGAAGCTCATCAATTCTCTTAAGGTCAGACTGAAGAAATTCAAGCCCTGTCTGGAGGTGAGAGGAAACATGGGAAGAGAATGATGTATACCTGTCCTCTCAGGGTCAGGAAATCTGGTCCTCCATGAGTCCTTTCTATGAGCTGTTCTCCTTAAGGATTTGAAATGCCTTGGGGAAGAAACGACAGTACATATTTGGCTAATGAGGAACTTTGGAAATTGAGTTCCCAGGGCCACAGAGACTACAGAGTCTGTCTGTGACCACTCCTCTAAAAGACCTGTTCGTGTCAGGAAACACACCTGAGCCCCCTGAGATGCTCCCTCTAGCCCTGGAGCCCAATTGCCTTACTTGGTCCCTCTGCCCTTCCTGGGGACAGATTTCCCATCTCCACCCTTCAATATCTAGAGGAAAGGTGAATTACTCATTGGTGACTTCAAGGTAATCTGATGTGCCCTAATAAATGCTGTGAGAAATTGAACAGTTTTTTTTTGTTGTTGTTTGTTTTTTTTAATCAGCCTATCTGGAGGACATCCAAGAGGTAAGAGAAAGTTTGGTAAGTTTGTTATATTGAATTTGCAGTCAGCTTTCATTTCCCGCTCTTACTCTGCCTTTTAAATTCCAGGGACTCTTTCGCTACCTGAACATGAATTAACCCCTTCAGAAATTGTACAGATAGGGGTGCCTGGGTGGCTCAGTCAGTTACACATCTGCCTTCGGCTCAGATCATGGTCCCAGGGTCCTGGGATTGAGTCCCGCATCGGGCTCCCTGCTCAGTAGGGAGCTTGCTTCTCCCTCTGCCATTCCTCCTGCTGGTGCTTGCTGTCTGTCAAATAAATAAAATCTTAAAGAAATTGGACAGATAATTCTACAAGTCTCTGGTTTCCCTCATTTTGGGGGGCTGTGAATGGGACCAGGATGGGTGAGTTTGGTTTCTCGATTTTCTTGCATCTGGTTCCAGCTTTTATCTCAGAGAACTTAAGTCTTGTTCCTACTTCTTATCTGTAAGGACCTTGAGAGAGGAGGTTGAGACCCATTAGTCTACCTTTCCAGTGTTTCTCTAAAAATCCCCAAAGAAAATATAGAAATTTAAAGCCATCAGAACAGCACAGTGAGCAGTAAAATAAATAGCCATGCAACCACTTTGCAGAATTAATGCTGACATTTTGGCCATATTATCTTCAGATATTTTCTTTTAAAATAATAAAGTATTACATACACATTATATATTGCCATTATATTTTAAACTGAGTATCAGATCCAAATCCCACAGAGAAAGGCCTTTATTTGCCTTCAGATTGGGATAACTATATATATATCATCATGGACAAATCCTCTATATCTCCTCCTCCCCTCCCAGAGGTTACCACTCTGGAATTGGTGGATATTTGCCATGGGTAGTTTAACACTATTAGTACATGTGAACATGTCTGATAAATCTCTACTATAGAAAAAAATTGTAATTAACCCAAATGCCCACTGATGAGAGAATATATGTTAAAATTAATAAACTGGATCTTCCTTGTGTCAGTCTTGATAAATATAGAAGATAATGTAAAGCCAAAAAAAGTTGCTGAATTGAATAATGTACTATGTATAACAAATATGAGCATGTAACATAAGCATAGAATGTTTATGGCTACATTATTACTCATGTGAAACATTTCAGGGGAATGATAACATGCAAAATTCAGTATCATGCTTACCCTCTGAGAGGTAAGGTCACTATTGAGATTGTATACAAATATGCTGGGGTTTCAAGGTGATTTCCATTGTTTTATTAATAAAACTGGGGCAAGCTTGGCACAATATCAAATTTAGTCATGCTGGCTGGTGGGCTTAAGCCCTTCATTGTCATTTTGTGCTTTCTGGGATACTTAAATTGAACATAAAACATGAAACAATTATTTTAAGGAGTATTTATAATTACATAAATTCCATCATGCTATAGCTATCATATAAATTGCTTTTCTCCTTTAATAATTTTGGTTTAATTTTATACAGCAAGAAATAACGTAAATATTTAGACTTTGCATATTTAAAACATTTAAGAAATTAAGGATGATACAATAGTATAAAATATTAAAATTACATGGTGTACCATGACTATGCCATAACTTATGAATGTATTCCCATACTGATGTTTGTTTAGGTTATTTCCTTTCTCTATTTCATTATACTGAGGGCTCCCAGTGGAGATCTGAGTACATCCCTTTCAGCCCTGAGATCATATTCTTGGGGTGCCTTCCCTCCTTGCCTCTTTCACTCTGTCTCACTCTCAGCTTCTCTTCTAGACATTAGGACTGTCCACAGCAAAAACCAAAAGTGATAAGAAAAGTCATTGCAAGGCCCCACTGTGCTTGGTGCTTTTCATTTTTCATCGGTGTAATACCTGTGTGTGTGTGTGTGTGTGTATTAATTTAATTGTATTACGTTAGTCACCATAAAATACATCATTAGTTTTTGATGTAGTGCCTTTGTATATTTTATAGTAGTTGCCATTATAAAAATGAGAAAATTGGGATGCCTGGGTGGCTCAGTCAAGCACCTGCCTTCAGCTCAGGTCATGATCTTAGGGTCCTGGGAGTGAGTCCCACATTGCACTCCTTGCTCTGTGGGGAGGCTGCTTCTCCCTCTGTCTGCCACTCCCCCTGCTTGTGCTCTCTCTCTCTCTCTCTGACAAATAAATAAAATCTTTTAAAAAAATGAAAATTGAATCTGCTCAGAGAGGTTCAGGGACCTTCTCATGTCACAGATCCATGTTACAATTGGGGGATTCATGATTAAACCAAGGAGTGTCTGTGTTCAAGCCTTATCCCTAGATGGTTTTTATGATCCCTTGTCTTACTCCAGGAAAAAAAGTCAACTCTGCTCAGGGCCTCAATTTGTGAAGCAAAGGGCTCACATTAGGTGGGCTCACTGTACACATCTTGTGATTCTATCATATATTTGAGGTATATATTTCTGTTACAGAAATTCCTTCAATTCATTACTTCATGAGAATGGTAGGTAGATGCTTAGACATTGCTAACCCATGCCAATCCCTTCTTGTCACTTTAGGGGGCATCATGAGCAATTTCCCAGGAACCTGGATAAGCCAGGTGGGATATGAGAGGCCTGGAGCTGGTCCTGAGTTGGTTCACATGGGACTCCTTCCCCAAACCAGGGGC